AGGGCAGTGTAGACAGATAAGGGGTCATTTCTTCCCCTTCCTCCTCTTCCCCCACACCCAGTCAGGGCATCTCAGTCCAGCACGCCTGGCAGCATTGCTGCCACTCAAACCCTGCTCCCCACCTCTGCAGAGCCCTCCCTCCCGCCCCCGCAGTCCCTGCCGTTCCGGAGCAGGGGCTCCCCGGCACACCCCACTTCGAACAGCCAAGCCGGCGAGGCCTGTCCCTGGCGCACTGCCCATCAACAGCAAAGGGTGACGCCTGCATCGTCCCCTGGAGCCCGGCGTGAAGGGGGCAGAGGCCCTGGGATGCTGGAACCAAGTGTTGCCTCCTGGACGTTACGCTGCCCGGTTACACTGCACACCCCCTTCCTGCAAAGAGCCACAGCGCTGCCCAAGGCCTGGCGGGGCCGCAGGAACCTGCCTGCCTCGGCTAGGTTATTAGCTAGCAATCGCCTTGTCGCCCCAGGCGTGGGCCAGGCCCCCTTTGTGCGAGGTGCTGCACACACTCAGAGCAGGAAGTCTGGGCCCCCAGGAGCTGATCATGTAGGTACCAGCCAAGAGACAGCAGAGATGGGCGGCTGGAGGGGGAGTATGGGGACACAATGCGGCGGCGCTGAGCGTGGTGGGCAGCGGGCTCGGCGGGTAGCAGGCTCAGCGCTGTTGCAGCCTTGCGGCAAGGAGGCTTGTGAAGGTGGGTAATCCGGTCGTTTGGGGGGCTCTGTGGGGCTTGTTTGAAATGTGCCAGGCAGGCCCTGCGCCGGCTGGCAGCTGAGAGGGAGAGAGAGCGGGTGGGTGAGGACGGACAGTGAAAACTAGCAGCGAAGGAGCCAGTGGAGGGCAGCAAAGAGGGGGCGACGTGGTCAAAGCGAAGGGCCCCGAGTGTTCGCAGGCCGCCGGAGCGGGTGGCGCTGAGCAGGGAGCGGTTTGTTTCCCAGGGACCCGTGACCTTTGAGGACGTCGCTGTCTATTTCACCAAGGAGGAGTGGAGGAAACTGGCAGGATGGCAGCGGGAGCTGTACCGCCACGTAATGCTGGAGAACTACGAGCTGGTGGCCTCGCTGGGTGAGCTCCTTGGCCATCCCTTGTTAGCAGCAGCCCCCAACTCGGACCTCACCGGGGTCCCCCATCAGCCCCCATCTCGGACGTCACTGGAGTCCCCCATCAATTCCTGCTGTGGGGAAATCTGACTGAATGTGACAATCATGGAACCCCGTGGGGCATGGCATGGCGTGGGGTGGGCAAGGCATGGGGTGGGCTGGCACCAGAGCAAGCTGGGGCGGGCACCAGGGTGGGCGTGGGCGGGCACCAGGGCGGGAGAGGCGTGGGCAGGCTAGTATGGGGCTGCATAAGCTCCTGTCTGTGCACTGCAGCTGTGACCTGCGATATCCCCTGCTGAGCGTTTGTGGCTCCTTGTGGGTCTCCCTCGGTCCCTGTCTCTGTTTCAGCCCACTTGTGCCTGGTGCCCGGCACTGAGCCCCGGGGAACTGCTTTTGCCCAGATCTGGCCTTGTAGCCCTGGTCAGCGCATTGCTTGTGCAGGCCTGTCCGAGCACTCCAGGCGCTGGCCGAGTAGGGAGCCCTGGTGGGGGAC